CCGTCTAAAAAAAAAAAAAAAAAAAGAAATGAACTGAGTGAATTCTCAAGCGCCCATCTCTGGGACGTGCCTAGAGGACACAGCAAGACATGGCGAGGCGGGAGTGTGTGCCATGGGGAGTGACGGTCCCTTCCTCTCCGGTGACAAGGACTCAGGCTGTGATCTGAAGGTTGGCGGTGTGGGGCCGTTTCCTCACTCTGTTCCTCTTCCATCACTCTGAGGAGTGTGGAATGGAAGGTCTTCTGGGCTCCTCCGAAAACACAGATGACTATGGTTATGTGACGCTAGCCCAAGATAAAAGAGAGTTCTGAAAGGATCTCTCTAGTGCCTTAGAGTGGGGGTAAATGCCACTAATCAAGCTGGCAGAGAACATCAGGCGAGTGAGGCTCTGCTGACCACGGTCGAGTCCTGGTGCTCGAGACAGGCCCCCCCGAGCCCAGCTCCGCGTGCTATCCCTCAGCAGGTTGAAGATGGCTCCAGCCATGGCAGGTAGTACTCATTGGACCACGGCTCACCCCAGACTCTGGCTTCTCGCAAAGCAGCAGAGTCCCACTGACCCGGCTGTGGGGCGACAGGGGCAGGCTGGGCTGGCTTGCACGTCCTGAGACAGGACTGACACAGGCAGACTTGTTTCTGTTATGATGTCTGTTCTTCTGGGACACCAGCGCTCCGGAGCAGGGCCTTGGTCAGTGTGAGGCCTCTGAAAGGGGGCAGGGGGAAGTCATCCCTACATTTCCGCCCCCACCCCCTGCTCTCCACTGTTTCCCTGTGTCTTCCTCTCCATCCCTCTTTCTTTCCCTGCTTAGTTCTCGGTTCTCCCATTCTCTTAGAGCAGAGGCCTCTGAGCTCCCATGATCACGCAACCATAAATCACAAAGCATGAACACAGACCTTGATCCGTAGACATTTATGGGCCTCTAAATTATGCCAAGGTGGTAGATTAAAAATATGTTTATTATAAAACATACACAAAAATACACTTTAAGATGATAAGATAAAAATGAAGTAAATTCTTAGTGTGAGCAATGTGATTGAATATTCTTCTAAGAAATTATATTATATATAAAAGACATACGCATTACATAGAAAAAATAGATACAACATTTGCTTCTAAGGAGTATGTAAAACTTGGAAGAATGGACATTGTTGAGCAAAGAGTAGAGAAATTCAACAGGGAAGCGGTAGAGAAATTCGGTACTGAACACAGGAGTGTTTGTCTCAGTCCTCTGTCTTTTTCATCCACCTATTTATTGCCTTTTGTGTGTAATATTTTGTTTAAAAAATTTTAAAAATGAAAATCCTATATGTTCAGAAATAAAACACACACACACACACACGCACACCCCCCTGTGGTCCCACTGTGAGGGCAGAAGACTTGATTTCATTAAAGGGAAGCCTTGGCTATTCATTGGGACTGGGCTGTTTGCTTCCCAGGGACTGGAACAGTGTGAATGAGCTGGAGATGTTAGCTAGGAGAAGACGCCTCACAGAGCAGACGTGCAGGATGGTGGTTGGAAAGGCATAAAGTTGTGGCCGGGCTCGGTGGCTCACGCCTGTAATCCCAGCACTTTGGGAGGCCGAGGTGGGTGGATCATGAGGTCAGGAGTTCAAGACCAGCCTGGCCAAGATGTTGAAACTCTGTCTCTACTAAAAATACAAAAATTAGCTGGGCGTAGTGGCATGTGCCTGTAATCCCAGCTACTCAGGAGGCTGAGGCAAGAGAATCGCTTGAACCTGGGAGGCAGAGGCTGCAGTGAGCCGAGATCATGCCATTGTACTCCAGCTTAGGTAACAGAGTAAGACTCTATCAAAAGAAAAAGAAAGAAAGAAAGAAAGACAACGAACGAATGACATAAAGTTGCTTCCTGGTGACCCTTGGCTTCATCCAGTCCCCACAAAAAACCACCAAGCCACCAAATGCCATAAGCTGAGACATGTTAGAAACACCAACTTATCTTTAAAAAGATCCATAGAAGTTTTGATATTTTCTTTCTGCTCCCAGATGGATCATTCTGCGTATGTCTTAGATATGTGACCGTAGGGTCAAGACCAGGGCTCAAGAATGACACCCCATTCGGAAACCAAGTCTATTGACTGTCATTATGGAAACCACTCAGACTTCCCAGCTTTTGCAAATCTCCCTCCCAGAGGCTGGATCCGGTTCCCAAATCCCCAGACCCTGGGACAGGGTCCCAACCTAGGCCATTGATGCATAAGCAGCAGCTGTATGGCTCAGATTCTCGTCTCCTTTTGTGTCATCTGTCACTCCGCGTCTCCTGCCTCATGGCACGATGTGATATTAGCTCTCACCTGCACTGCAGCCGGGCGCTTGCTGCCAAATAATTTGTGATCAGATCTCCACTGGACTTATGTTGCCAAAAATTCATCACACCTGTCGCCTGAGGTGGGCGAATCCATGACATCATGTACTACTGAAAATGTTCTATGGTATCAGAGGTGAGAGAGCTCAGGAGGGCAGAGGTCATGTCCATCCCATCCTGTGCTCTCCTCCAGCACTGGGCACAGAGTGTGGCATGGAGCAGGGCCAGTGAGTGCTTCTGGGTGGATGGGTGGATAGACGAATGGGGTCAGGCCCTGGTGAGTGCTGCTGGGTGGATGGGTGGATGAATGGGTGGGGTGTGAGTGGGCAGGTGGAAAACCACACAGATGATGAGTGAAGGAGATGAAAGGAATGAAGGGAGAAGTTGAAAGGCAGCCGAAGCCTCCAGGTGAGTACCTGCATCCCCTTTGTCACCCTTTGCTCCGTCTCGTCCATCTCTTCCAGGCAGACCATTGTGACCGGGGTTCCCAGGGATGCCAGGGTGCCCTTGCCTGCACGTGTCCTGTGAGTTTATGCCCCCTGTGCAGATTCCAATGGCAAGCAGAAGCCACCAGATCCTCATGGTTCAGATGACAGACTCTGAACTGAAAGAGGGAAACAGAAACCCAAAGGAGAAACCTTTGTTGCTGGGGCCCTGGACACAGCCTCTGTTCCGTGCAGTGGGAAATGGATGAGCTGTCCCCTGCCCCAGATCCATACCTGGACAGACTTGGACAGAAGGCTCAGGGCAGGGAAGGGCAGAAGCCTGGCAGCAGACCAAGCTGGTTACAATCAGAAAGACATCGTCTTTGGAAGGTAACACTTGTGATTGGAACCACTCTTCAAGGTGAACAGGCAATAAAAAAGCCAAGTTTAAGGTCAGGATCCTCTTCCATTTATCATTTAGCTTTGAAGAAATGAGTTTTCCGAACCAGAGATAAATGCCTACTTATCTCACAGGACTGTTGTAAAGACCAAATTGTATCACAATATGCATAAAGGTACATTTGAAATAGTAAAGCAAACAGCATTACCCCTGATCCAGCAATTCCACTGCTGTGCATCTACACAAAAGAAGTGAAAGCAAGGACTGGAACAGAGCTCCATGTTCACAGTTGCATTATTTTCCATAGCATTCTGGAAGCTGTTAGCCAGGAAAAGACGCCTCACAGAGCAGACGTGCAGGATGGTGGTTAGAAAGAAAGAAAGTTGCTTTCTGTGACCCTTGGCTTCATCCAGCTCACTCAAAAAGCCATCAGGCCAGCAAATGCCATAAGCTGAGCCATGTTAGAAACACCAACTTCTCTTTAAAAAGGTCCATAGAAGTTTTGATTTCTTCTTTCTGCACCCAGATGGATCCATCAAGTGTCCATCAGTGGATAAACAGATACATGCAATGTGGTAGGTCCACACAATGGAATAGTCTTCAGCCTCAGAAAGAAAGGAAATTCTAACACGTGTTACAACATGGATGGACCTGGAGAACATTTTGCTAAGTGAAACCTGCTAGTCACAAAAAGACAGACCTGGATAATTTCACTTATGAGAGGCATCTAGGACAGTCAAACTCATATAAAGAGAAAGCAGGATGGTGGTTGCCAGGGGTGAAGAGAGAGGGAAAAGGGAGTTGATTGATGGGTACAGAGTTTCTCTTTGGGAAGATTTAAAAAGAGTTCTGGGGATGGATAGTGGTGATGGTTGCACAACAAAGAGAGCGTACTTAACGCCACTGAACTGTGCCCTGAAAATGGTTAAGCTGGTAAGTTTTATGTTATATATTTTTTACCACATTAAACAATTAAATTATTATTATTATTATTATTATTATTTTTTTTTTTAAGATGCGGTTTCACCATGATGGCCAGGCTGGTCTTGAACTCCTGACCTCAGGTGATCCACCCATCTCGGCCTCCCAAAGGCATGAGCCACCATGCCTGGCCAATTAAATTAAATTAAAAAAAAATAGTAAAGCAGGCCAGGCATCGTGGCTCACGCCTGTAATCCCAGTACTTTGGGAGGCGGAGGCAAGCGGATCACGAGGTTAGGAGTTTGAGACCAGCCTGGCCAACATGGTGCCCTGTCTCTACTGAAAACACAAAAATTAGCTGGGCGAGGTAGCACGAGCCTGTAATCCCAGCTATTCGGGAGGCTGAGGCAAGAGAATCGCTTGAACCTAGGAGGCAGATACTGCAGTGAGCCGAGACCCCGCCACTGCACTCCAGCCTGGCGACAGAGTAAGGCTCCATCTCAGAAAAAAAAAGAAAAGAAAAGAAAAGAAAAAATAGTAAAGCATTCCAGACAGTCTTACTGTAATGAGAGGTATTCCGTGAGTCTGGGTCTTGTTTTTCTAGGAGGCCACTGCGAAGAAGGGCCACACACACACAGAAAAGGTCACACAGTTCAGAAGCGCGTTTTCAAGTCTCTTCCTCTGTAGACACTGCCCCCACCCCAGGTTAGCCATGCGGTTTCCCGCCGCAGGAGAAGCAGGAGCTAAGACTGCGCTTGGATAGTGCTCCAAAAGATGGAGCAGCAAACGCAAGTCCCAGAAGGGAGATGAAACGTGAACGGCCGGACCTCCTGACTCAGCAACGCTCCCCGTCAAGGCTGCGGACACCACGTTCCTCTCCTACATGGCGCCTGTCATGGCAGGGGCTTCACATTTGTTTATATAATTACAGGGTGAAGAATCTGGCTCCCTGCCTGCCTGTATTTTCTCATTACTGTCTTCCCAGTACTCAATATTAAACTTGGAACAGCAGATTAAACAAACATTTGTTGAATGAAATTAAGGTGTCATGGGAGATGTCTTGGGATATATACAGTTATAATTTTCGGAGACAAGGTCTTGCTCCATCACCCAGGCTGAAGTACAGTCATGCAATCAAAGCTCAGTGTAGTCTTGACCACCTAGTTCACGCAATCCTCCTGCCTCAACCTCCCAACAGCTGGGACTACAGACAGGCACCATCTTATCCGGCGATTTTTTTTTTTTTTGAGGCAGAGTCTTGCTCTTGTCACCCAGGCTGGAGTGCAATGGCCAATCTCCTGTAACTGCAACCTCCACCTGCCGGGTTCAAGCAATTCTCCTGCCTCAGCCACCCGAGTACCTGGGATTACAGGCGCCACTACCATGCCCAGGGCATTTTTGTATTTTCAGTAGAGATGAGGTTTCACCATGTTAGCCAGGCTGGTCTCAAACTCCTGACCTCAGGTGATCTGCCCATCTCAGCCTCCCAAAGTGCTGGGATTATAGGTGTGAGCCACTGTGCCCAGCCCTAATCTAATTTATTTATTTCCTTTCTTACTCCTTTTTCTTTTCTTTTTCTTTCTCTCTCTCTCTTTTTCTCTTTCTTGTCTTTCTCTATTTCTTTCTCTTTCCCACTCCCTCACTCCCTTTCTCTTCCTTTCTTCCTTTCTTCCTCCCTCCCTCCCTCCCTTCCTTCCTTTTTTTTTTGAGACACTGGGTCTCACTCTGTTGCCCAGGCTGCTCCTAACCCCCTGAGCTCAAGCAATCCTCCCACCTCAATCTCCCAAAGTGCTAGAGTTACAGTCTGGAGCCACTGCACCTTGCTTCTAGAATTTTGAAAAACAAAAATGGCGGTCTAGTGCAACTGGTCAAAACCCAGATCCTCTCATAGCACTGATAGCCATGTAAATCTGCACATCCTTCTGGAAACCTTAAAGAGCAAAAGACATCTATGTCTTTCACCCTGTATTCCTAACCCTAAAATTCTTAATATTCCAAAACTGTGTGCCAATTGTGTGACTTTACCTGCAGCACTATCTATAACAGTGAAAAAGTGCACACTACATAATATGTAACAGTAGGGGAAAGGTTTAGTATGTGTAATAGTATGTAACTGCTGAAATAATTATGACGGTCATGCAGAAATACATAATTATGTATGTCATGCTGAATTTTTATCATAGACTAAAATGCCATGCACATTATAAATGTACTTATGACTATGAATATTTACAAAAACTCAAAGTGAATATATGTAAATGAAGACGATTGCTTTAGAATGGGGATGGTTATGGGAGCATTTCATTTATAAAAATGCTTTTTTTACAGTGCCTATACAAATATTTCTAGAGATTTTGAAAACCAGCAAGACTGTCATCCAAAGGACTGTACTGCCATCTGGGGGAAATGTCACACGGTGCAGTTCAATGCAAATGGGAGTATTTTTGGAAAAGGAAATGCAGATGTTTCCCTGTGAAGTCACAAATCCGCCCCATTTCAGGAAATCGGGTTGCATTTTCTTGGAGACAAAGTCCAGGAGCAATATGTAAACTCAGACTGGAAGCAGTCAAATCTAAATTCCATCAATTGAACTTTGTTGAGGGTTCTGTAGTTTTCATTTTTAGCTTTTCAAAATGTGGGGTACAATGATTCCAGGAATAAAATGATCGTAAGATTGTAAAAGTGTCAAGTTAGGATAAACTCCATTTTGCTCTCTGGAGAAGAAGGAGCCAGGCTAAAGGCAAACAGCTATTCTGTAATTATTTCACTAGCTTTGCATACTTGATGTAGGTAGATTCTATCCAGCTTGTTTATATAGCAAGTAGACAACCTTCCAACAAATGATTTTGATTAATCTAATATGTGTTCTCCCAAATGCACAGCAAAGTAAGTTGCAGCACTATTTCTTACTTTTTATTTGTTTGTTTGTTTGTTTGTTTATAGAGACACAGTCCTGTGATGTTGCACAGGCTCGACTCAAGCTTCTAGGCTAAAGTGGTCCTCCTGCCTCAGCCTCCCAAATAGCTGGGATTAGAGATATGGCCACCACCCAGCCTGGCATTATTTTTGATAAGAAAATTTAGAAAGCTTATACCTCCAGTTTAGCCTCTTTTTCAATGTAGAACATTGATGATTTGCACAAGGAATATAGAAGAAATTCTATTAGTGTTATTTTAAAAATAAAAAAGTACCTTTGTGCCTCTCACAAAGCTATGGGTCGGACTCTCAGTTTCATTAGTTCAACCACGGTTATACTCTCAACTTTTAATTTCTGGGTCTGGTCTTTTTCCAGAAGGCACTAGAGCCAGGATCCTCTCTGTCTCCCATCTTTCCCTGCAATCACCTCCTCCCTCTCTCTTCTCTTACCTGAGTTACTGTCCTCCCTAGTCCCCACTTATTCTGTGCACCACACCTAGAGTAGTGATCACTTGGTAGGTATCAACCTGGGTTAGAGCTTTAGGAAGATAGTGACTGCTTTCTTCCACTTCCTTATTTTCAGTGCCTTATTCAGTACCTTATTTTCAGTGTAATATTTGTTGAATGAATCAATGCAGGCACGCAAGAAATACTCTCCTGGTTCCAACTGTGCGTGGACCATTGCTTGGGAAGGTGACTGGGTCTCAACTCTGATCCTTGTCAGTGCTTTCATGGAGTTGCTAATTATCTCCCACAGCCCTCTTGCCTTCGTCCATAGTAATAGAAGTTTTAGCTGGGCTGCTAGCCGCCCAGGATAGACTGCACTCCCCAGCCTCCCTTGCAGCCTTGATATGACCATGGAACTAGACTATGGGCCATGGGAATGAGCAAAAGTGAGGCGTGTAATTATGTGCAATGACCGGCCTTAAAGGGTAAGGGGGTGCCCTTTCCTGCTTCCCGTGTGGGGGTGTGCATGATGTGGTGAACCATGTGCGACTCCTTGAAGGAGGGCAACAGTTTGGGGATAGAAAACCTCTGGCCTCAGATGACTCCACAGACCAGACCTGTCCTGCCAGCACATCTTTGACATGAGTACATGAAATGGAAATAGACTTCTACCTTGCCTAAGCCATTGTTACGTGGGGTCTCTGGGACACACAGCTGAGCCCACTTCCTGACGAACGCAAGGCATGCGCTGCCCGAGGTGTGGCGCTTATCAGAAGTGAGGAGGCTTGCAGACATCTGTAGTCGGCCAGAGTGACAGCTGCCAGGGCCTCACTGGGCATACAACCCTCCCAGTCATATATGTAAAAAAGCGACAACAGTCACTGCCTTGGACAGGTCAAGACAAGATCCTTACACATTCATATCATATGAATGTACAGAGAACAGAGGCCATCGTGCTGCAGAACGCTGTGCCCGCATGAGCCTGACATACTGGCTTGGTCGGGGCAAAGGGACACAGACTGCAAATAACTTTGAAGTTAATGTTAGTCCCCCCAAAATGGGTTCTTATTTAGTTCATTCATTCTGGCTTGTTCTATGCTTTACCTATATTTGTCCTTTGCTAAAGAATCTCTTGAGAAATGGTCACTCGGTGCCCTTCCTGATTAATTTTCTCCAAGAACATCGTGTCTTTAATTCAACAGCCAAGCTTATCACTCTTAAGATTATTAATTTCTCCAAACTAACATTTAATACAAACCTGCTAGAAATCAGCGGAGTGATTTCCACCGGGTTTCCAAAGCGCAGAGCCTCAGCTTCCTCCTGCTTATACTGGAAAGGATGAATTAACGCCCTCCCAGCTCTGACAGTCTAAGGGTCCAAATAGCTCTAGGGTGCTTTCATCAAATACATTGGCTTCCATGCACTCTATATATTGTAACTTTATACATTTCTTCTTCAATATATATTGATGGTTTTTTTCCTATACTGTAAATTAGCATAGCCATAAATACGAAAATGTATGCAATTTGAATATGATAAACCTGATCAAGGAAAAAAAAGTATACATTGAAATTTGTGCAAAATAATCTATAAGCTTCTCTGGAAAGCTCTCTTAAAAAGATTCAGTATTCTCATGACTTATTCTATGGTTTTTATCTCTCCTTCTAGCCAATTGCAGAGT